AAGTGTCCTGCCATAGTCATGCAACTGCGTGCCAGTTCTGGCTCTGCATCTTCTAGGCTCGGTGACCTTGGACAAATAGATTTTGATTTATTCATCAGTTCCAGTTTCCTCATCAGTAACATGGGAACAATGATGGTTTGAGGAGTATGAAAAATAGTGAGTGTGTGTAAAGTGCCTGACAACACATAGCCAATGATGTCTTTCCTGTAAATTTCTGTCCTGTTATCTTTCTAGATGCCAAATAAAGACTCATCACACAACTAAAGTGGGCAACTTTGTGTTTTCTGTAATCTCTCCATGGATGGTAAGGAAATAGCATTTCTTGGATGAAAATATAGTGACTAAATCCCACCCCCTCTTTGGACCTATGATGTGAAAAGCTTTTTAGTAGTTTACTAATAGATGAAAAATCTTACAAGGCTATACAAGTTAGATGACATTACACTTACTTCTATCTAGACTGCATTTTACCATTTAAAGCAGGGACAGAGCTTCTGGGCATTTTGACCAGTGACTTCGCATCATTAACACAGTCTGGGGTTAGAAATCACATGCATTACACTTAGCTGAGTTAAAAGCATAGAGCATTTCATATTTTCAATATAATTTCTCATCTTACTCTGACCCCTTATCTCTCTCTCATAGGGAAGTGAAGAGAGACTTCTTGTTGACAACTAAAGACAGCCCCTTCTCTTGTTGACATCAGCCTCTTTGGGGTAAATGCCCAGTCTTCCTGGCATTCACTTCTTTCCTCCTACTTGTCAGCTGGGTACCATCTGGGCCTGGGAGGAGACTTATCTACCCTCATGGGGGGGAGGGTGGGGAAGGGGACCTCGGCTGGGCTTGTTACTTCTGATTCCTGGCTGCTTTTTGCTGTAGGATGACTGGTCCATTTCCTGGGTACCTTGGGCTGGTAACCCCAGAGAAGTGGCCCTTCCACCTGGTCTTCTGGGGTTTGTGTTTAATCCCACCCATGGTCCTGGCTGTTGGCCTCTGGAGGTGGAGACCTTGTACTCCGTGGCCATCTTGTTCTAACTCCAGGCCCCTGCACAACCTCTGGCCTCTCAGTACCATGGTATCCTCCCACTGGAGTATACGGAAACTTCCGGATTCCATGTGTATCAAGTGCAGGCCTTGAGAGGTCAGGAGCTCTACTTTAAAGGCACCTAAACAGCACCCCCAGCCGGGGTGACCCGTCTGGCAATGGTACCATGTTGCTGAGGTTTCCTATAAGTGCAGGCTTCTAGAAGGAGGGGTGTTGGGATTGATACTCTCCTTGTACATTCACAGGAAAGCAGAGAGCGAGTCCCGTTGCTCTGGGGAACTCCTAGTGTGGGCAGCATGGGTGGGCAGGCACATACTTAACTGGCTATTCCTTTGTTTCCTTGTTTTTTCCATTTCTTCCTCATCCTAGTTCCTGCACAACTTTCAATTTTTACTCCAGACAGGTGAAAATGCCCCTTATGGCATATTCTAAATTCTCTATACCTATAAAATTCTATACAGTCATTCAATGTATTGGTGTGCTTACATAAAGAGAGTTTTTGAAGTTTAGAAATCCCTTTTTCTTGAAGTTTAGTTTTCAAGATTAGCAATAGTAATTTGCTGGTAAAAGCTGAGCAATGACTTCCTTTTTTTCAGCAGATATTTACTCATCACTTGAAGATTGATAAACATTGATTTGATGGTTAGAAACCATAAGGACTCACAGTTTAAAGGAAAAAGGTGATTATTTCACTTTTTAAAAAACGATATCTGTTAGGCATAGTTTGGAGATTATGCCACCTTGGTTATCGACTATGGTCTTCTGGGGTTTGTGTTTAATCCCACCCATGGTCCTGGCTGTTGGCCTCTGGAGGTGGAGACCTTGTACTCCGTGGCCATCTTGTTCTAACTCCAGGCCCCTGCACAACCTCTGGCCTCTCAGTACCATGGTATCCTCCCACTGGAGTATATGGAAACTTCCGGATTCCATGTGTATCAAGTGCAGGCCTTGAGAGGTCAGGAGCTCTACTTTAAAGGCACCTAAACAGCACCCCCAGCCGGGGTGACCCGTCTGGCAATGGTACCATGTTGCTGAGGTTTCCTATAAGTGCAGGCTTCTAGAAGGAGGGGTGTTGGGATTGATACTCTCCTTGTACATTCACAGGAAAGCAGAGAGCGAGTCCCATTGCTCTGGGGAACTCCTAGTGTGGGCAGCATGGGTGGGCAGGCACATACTTAACTGGCTATTCCTTTGTTTCCTTGTTTTTTCCATTTCTTCCTCATCCTAGTTCCTGCACAACTTTCAATTTTTACTCCAGACAGGTGAAAATGCCCCTTATGGCATATTCTAAATTCTCTATACCTATAAAATTCTATACAGTCATTCAATGTATTGGTGTGCTTACATAAAGAGAGTTTTTGAAGTTTAGAAATCCCTTTTTCTTGAAGTTTAGTTTTCAAGATTAGCAATAGTAATTTGCTGGTAAAAGCTGAGCAATGACTTCCTTTTTTTCAGCAGATATTTACTCATCACTTGAAGATTGATAAACATTGATTTGATGGTTAGAAACCATAAGGACTCACAGTTTAAAGGAAAAAGGTGATTATTTCACTTTTTAAAAAACGATATCTGTTAGGCATAGTTTGGAGATTATGCCACCTTGGTTATCGACTGTGTAAGTGGAGTTTATGGATAGCATTGGGGAAGGAAGGTGAAGGGCCTGTCAAAGCTGTGAGTATATAACCAGTTTGTTCTGAGACTGGGGAAGTGGCACTTAGACGATGCCTATGCTGAAACTTCCAAAGGTGGGGCTTTGCTGTGCTGTCTGCCTTTTCTGTTCACTATGTCTCACCTTTAGAAGCAACTACTAATTTCCTTTCCTTATGGATTCATATAAACTCATTGTTAGAGTTGATTAGCAGTCTTCTTTGTGTTTGTTTTTAGGAGGTGACGTTCTACTCACTTTGCTTGATTTGAAGAAAACAAGAAGCTGCAATCTTGCCAAGCAGAACTTAATCAGAACTTTATTGAATCCAATTAACAAATATTCATTGGGTGCCTATGTCCCAAGCCACTATTCTGGGCACTTGGCATGTCTCTGTTACGGTACCAAGTATAGATGAGTAGAAAAAGAGAACATAGCAGGAGAAGGGAAATAGAAAGTCAGGGATTAATTGCCTTAGAAGAGCACCAAACACGCCTTACATCACCAAAATCATTATGATGCATGATTTTGCCTCTCTTTGCCTCTCTGCAAAAGTTTTGTGGTTAGTGAAATCTGTTATGCATGCATGCTAAGTCACTTCAGTTGTGTCCATCTCTTTCCAACTCTATAGACTGTAGCCCACCAGGCTCCTCTGTTCATGGGATTCTCTGACAAGAATACTGGAGGGGGTTGCCTTGCCCTCCTCCAGGGGATCGTCTCAGCCCAGGGATCGAACCAGCATCTCTTACATTATATTACATTACCCACATCTCTTGCATTTGGCAGGTGAGTTCTTCACGACTAGCACCACCCAGGAACGCCAGAATCTGTTAGAGCTATACCCATATCAGTACCCTCTGGAAATACAACAGATTTTCAGTAACTGGAATATTGCTCTTTTTAATTCATAAAATGAAGTATCATTTTACTTAGAATGAATTGGTAGCACTGGTGATAAAGTTAACTTATCTTTAATTGCTTGTCTCTCTAGTCTGGCTAATCTCCTCAGCATTCTCTACTTTACCAAGCTTTGTGATAAATATTTCCCCTGCCCTGACCATCTGCAGCCTGGTGTCCTCCAAACTCATGGGATTACCTTCTTCATAGAGACGTCTTTGGCTTCTCCAGCCAATGCTGACATGAATTCTCTCTGAATTTCTGTCATATCTCTAGTTCAATTCACATAGTTGGCCTCAACGCAAGACTGATGGCAGGATCTAGGTCTTAAATTTCTTTGCATTTTCCATAATGCCTAAAAAATTACATACATACTATAGGCCTAAATAAATAAGTAGGTAGGTATATACTTATTGAGTACATTTAGGGATGATGGCAAAATAGTTAATACCTAGTATAGCATGAAGATTGACAGTTGAGAGTACACTGACCAATTCATATTACCTGAATATCAGCCACACTTACACATATACATACATATATGAAATACAATATTACACAGGGTGCATATATTACCTTTCATTTCATAGAAGAGAGATGAGGGAACCGAGTTTCAGAGAAGCTCATTACTTGCTCAGGACACACAACCAATGGAAGACCCTAGATTTGTTCACTCAGCACCTGTGTTCTTTCCGCTGAACTACTATGCTGATTACTACTTGGTGGTGGGTCAGGTCCTCTCTCTCCTTGGGCTGAGTTGTCCTTTCAGAGGAGAGAGAGTTGGGTGACTGTTGAGTCTGCCTAGAGCACATAGATAATCAGCTCACTTTGAACCGTCGGCATTGTGGGGACCTGCATGGTCATGCTTAACATTTATGGCCAGTTTGTACACTGTTTTGCCTGTGTTATGAAGATTTGGTCAAAGACAGTTATTTTACAAAGCCAAAGATCTGGTGGCTTGTGGGATGATTCTTAGCAGTTCCCTTGGAATCTCTCAGTATTTCCATTTTATCTTGTTTAAGTGGTAAAATATTGTACTTACCTTAAATTTCTCATAAATTATTTAAAAATCTTTAACCTTGCATTTTTAACATAAAAATTAAATGTCATCATTATCCAATAATCTAATTGGTGATTAAGAAAACACAGGTCATCTCTTCTCAGTTTGGGCAGTCAGTAGTGCAGTCAAGTGAATGATACTCTCTAATACAGGATTGACAGCCATAAGCTCCTCAGTCCCATCCCATTTTCTGTTCCTGAGCACACAGGATCACTTCATTTCCTCCTTGTTGGGTTGGGATCATGTGACAGGGCTTTGGCCAAAACAGTTAGGACTGAAGGATATAAGCCACCTCTAGTTCTGCCCCTTAAAAGCATGTCCTGGCTTTTGCTTTCCCATCCACAGTGAGTTTAGATGTCGCTGAATTGTGATTGCAGCATCACGAAAGGGAAGGAGTTTGGGTTCCTGACTATCTGCTTGGAAGACAGTCTCCAAAGAGAGCTGCCAGACTTTCACTGGACAGTCACATGGGGGAGAAATAAACCTATGTGTGACACCACTGAGATTGTCATTATAGCAACTGGTATGTATTGCTCTGATACAGAAATTGGTACCAGAAGTGGGGTACTGACATAACCAAATTGCATTCTTTGACGGTTACACCAGCCTAAATGTATTATCATTCATTTAGGAGTTCAGCAACAGGCTGAAAAGAAGCTAAAACCAGAACTTGGAAAGATGGAAATTTAGTTTATGCAGTGACAAATTTGGTAGAGTTATTGCCTTCTATTGATCAGAAGGTAGTCACATCACAGTTTTTATCACAAGGGTAAATGGTTAGAAAACAGAATCCTAGCAGTGTTTGGGGCTTATCTAGACTGTATGATGACTCAGGAAAGAATTCATGAGTTTGCTAGCAAAAATAGAATACAGAGTCCAAAAGTTGGGGCTGTAGGATTAGAAAAAAATAAGCCGACTTTAGGCTCTAACAGTAAGACATGCTACCAAAAGAATGTCTTTAAGTGACAAATATCTAGTAAAAGTTCACGCGAATGAAGTTGTTTGAGGCAAAAATAAAATCAGCACTATGGCCTTCTCACCTATTGTTTCTGATAGCCTCAATGCATTTAGGTAATTATTTTGAGAGAGAAAAAGGCATGGAGGGGAAGAAGCAAAGAAAAAGAAAAAAGGTAATTTGATAACAAGGTTTAGAAAATAACTCTGAGCTGTGGTCACTGGCATAAGGACCTGACTGAAGCAAATATATCATATGTTTTCTAAGTTTAGAATTGCATTGCCAAGGAAAGGAAGGGCTTGAACTTGAAACATCCTTGCCTGTTCAAGATTTAAAGCAATTCTCAAGTTGCCAACCCATTCCAGACTGAATGGAAGTCAGGCTTTTGCAGGTGTACTGTTCTGAAAGAAGGGTGTCCCTACTAACCCAACTTCACATGTGTCCAAGAAGAAGAGCAAATAATGGAGTCCTTCCTAGAGCAACTCCACACACTTATCCACCATGCCCAGAAGGTGGGCTGTACAGTGCTGACTCAAGGGCTCAGAGTGGCTGTGGACCATGATGCAGACTCTTACCTATTATTTTCCTACACAAACAAGATTATTTTCCTGTATTTTCCCCATTATTATAAATGGCTTGTGATGATGGGCAAGTAGGGTACAGATTACTTGTCTTTTCAATATGTAGGCTACCTATGTAGCCTATGAGGTCCTACATCAGACTGATGGAGAAGATGGTGCCCTCCTCAGCTGTTCTGGACATTGATATGGTAGTGGTGACTGAATGGGAATTTGCATTGTCCTCTGTGGGGTGAGGTGAGTGTGATCTGTGAGTAAGGGGAAAGTAAAATGAATATTTAATGTTCAGAAAGTCAGACTATGATAAAACTTTTAGTGATCATCATTTTTGAGTCTCTGCTTGAACATGTAGGAAGCCTCTTGCGGACCACCCTGAAGTTAAATGGGCCATGTGATCCCAATGGCTGGCCAATGGAACGGGAGCAGAAGTGATGACTGTTACTTTGCCAATGGAACGGGAGCAGAAGTGATGACTGTTACTTTAAGGCCAAATGTGTTACAATCTCATGTGTCTTCTTTACATTTTTCCCCATCTAAATAGCTGCAAGCAAAGGACTCTAAGATGAAACTGTCACACGTGCCTGATGGAAGGAGCCCAACTGACAACAGATATTTATGAGTAAGTAATCACTTTGTATTGAGGATAGTATTTATATTTGGAAACTGTGTTTTATAGCAGCTTCATTGATTACCTTGACCAAAACACTATTCTAAACTGAAGACTAGTTCATAAAGTTGGGAAAGCTCTTTATTTTTCTTGAAAGGAGTGAAATCATCCTCCTGCCCCATCATCTTCATCACATTTGGTTCAAAAAGTCCTTTTTCAGGATTGTTCTGATAGACAGGAAAAATTCAGGATGTAGAATGTAAGTGAATTGGGACAAGTGGTTCAGAGCTAAGGTTTCCATCAGTGAAGGCATTGAAGGTCCACCTTTCACGATGGTCCTTTTTCTGTGGCCTGGATAACACACCGGGGCTTAGCATGTCTTTCTATGGCAGGATAGTACATTTTTATACATAGGCATCTAGGACATGACAAAGCTATATAAAGCTCAGTCCATAACTGAACATCGTTGCCCAGGTCTTGGGATATGAGAGCACCAGGTTAGATAAACACGTGGTCAGTAGTTTCCAGCTATATGTCTCCCTCCCCATTTCCGGGTGTGGATTGCACTTGAAAGCTTCAGCACAGCAATGGCTCTTGACCTATCGGCGACACCCAACGAGGCCATGCAGCAGGCATGGGGCTACTACTGGCATTCATAACTGGAAATAAGTCCCTAAAATACCCATTTTCTCATGGTGGTCCAGTATAGAACTGTGATCCAGGAATCTCTTTAAAACCCTCTTAAGCCTATTAAGATTATCATAATCTATAACCTTGCAAGGACACAAGTCCTGCATAGTCAGCTACTTTGTAACGTGGTATCTCCATATCTTTGAGATCCTAAACCTGATTCGTCAAAGCGTGACTGCTCCTACTATTTCGAGATTGGGTAAATCACATCATTTTTATCTGCTGAGATCATAAAAGACTGTGACTGAGGTCTAGAGCTTTCTCTTTGTCATCTAGGACTATATGACAGTACCTAACCAAGTCACTACTCATGCATCTAGAGAGTGAAGAGGCTCAGGCCAACAAGACCCAGCCTAGAGGCCTGGAGGACATCGCAGCCCATCCAAGCCATCAATAAGCCTTGAAGCTTTAGCCCTGGCCTCCTCCTCCCTCCACCCCCGCCTCCAATTTACAGTACCCTCTCTTTTAGGAGAAGGGTGGTGAAATTGCTTTGCATTGGAATTACTGGTATAAAGAGCTACCTTCTCATCTGAGTAATGCTAATTCATCCCCATCCATGGTCATTCGCTACCTATTAGAAATATCCTGACAGCCTGCATCTCATTACCGTTGCAGCAGGTCCAGCTCCCAAGAATAACCTTCTAAGGAGGATGAAATGTACGCCAGTGGCATCTAATACCAGGGCATTCACATTCATATTTTTAGCAGCATATATCAGTTAGCCCAACCTTTAGTGTACTCTATGTACTTTTAATAATCTCCATAAAAGCCTGATTTCCAATCCCTAGGCTCAAGCTGACAGTGTAAATAAAATCACCCAAATCCACAGGGTAAGAGAAATGAAAATGACAAGGATTAAAATTTGGTCAAACCTCTTTCTTTTTAAAAATTCTGCTTCCCTTCCAATTGGATCACGACCCTCTGGGTGCTCAGCTTAAGACCAGACGGTACGCTTTCACTTTTATTCCTCTCTGCAGCAGGCTTACAGTATTTAGTGAGAGTCTGTAAAGAATGTGTGCTGGGTAGAGAGTTAATACCATAATCCCCCATCGTTGGGGTCAAATGCTGAATAGAGCAAAAGAATTAGAAAACATGTTACATACAATGGCAGGAAAAAATGCATCAGCGCGCTGTTCTGTGAACACCAGCGTCCTTCACCCGCAAGTAATGGCCATGAGGTAATAGAGTGGATGAAGAGACGTGTACTTGAAGTCCGGTGTGTACACAGAAGCAGGGGTGGGAGACCTGAGCACAAGTCTTAACCCCCACTTGCCCTGGGCCATATTTGTCACCCTTTTTAATTGCTTCTTTTCCATGGTTACTTAGTAAGTAACGCATGTGGGTACTAAACTGTTTCCCCGAGTTGAACTTTGATCTCTCCCTTTTCCCCCTTCAGCAGTGGGTGTGAATATTGTTCTCAAAGTGCTGTCGTACATCTGCCTCTGGAGAATTCTCTTAATGAACAAGTAGAAATTTGAGGCACCAAAGATGAAAAGGGCCAAACAGCCACCTTCCATTGTTATCTTGGGAAAGTCAACTGAACTTCCCTGGAGTAAGATTACGAGCAAGTAAAAACTTTCTGTGGAAGTTCTATAAAGAGAAGTAAGTGTGTGTGTTAGTGGTTTGGCCATAAAATGACAAGTTGAATTTATTGGAAACCATATCCTTTGAAGTAGCAACTATTACAGATTCAGCATTTAAATTTCTAAAGTTTATTTTAAAATTTACACATAGTAAATTTGGGGGTGTAGAGTTCTGTAGTTTTGACAAATGCAGAATTGGGTTAGCATTGCCACAATCAAGATAACTTATACAAGATACCTAGGATAGTCAAATTCATAGAGTTTAAAGTACACTGGTAGATACTTGGATGGTGGGGTGGAGGTGGTCAGAGTTGGGGGGCGGGGGAGGGGAGTTTGCATTTAGTTGCATTTAGTTGCAACTAAATGCATTGCATTTAGTTGCAGGGTTCCAGTTCAGGAAGGTGAATTCAAGAGATGGGTGATGGTGAGAGTTGCCAAGCAATGTGGACGTACTTAGTACCACTTAATATGTATAGTTAAATATGGTTAAAATATTGTGTTTTTATACTATGTGACTTTTACCACAATAAAAATTTCCGTTAAAAATACAGAACAGGTTCATCACCTTCAACAGCTCCTTGTGTTGTTTCATTGTTTCAAACATTGAGAATCTTAAATTCTTATGCATAGAATATCACACATGTGCAACGTATACATGTTGTATATGTTGACCAGAATGATAATCCTGATAATCCGGAAGCCATATATATCACAAAGTAAAGACAACATCATCTATGCATTTTAAATATACATATATACTTTAACATATATAAATAACTAGAGAGCCAACTTTCTTTTGTCAAAAAGGCTACTTACTGTTCAGTAAGTTCAATAAGTATAGAAACAGTGACCTAACCTGCTCTTGTATCAACATAAACAAAAGAGCTTATTAAATGTACATTGAATTGAATATTAACCTGGCTTCCCTTGTGGCTCAGATAGTAAAGAATCTGCTCGCAGTGAGGAGACCCTGGTTAGATTCCTGGGTACAGAAGATCTCCTGGAGAAGGGAATGGCAACCCACTCCAGTATTCTTGCCTGCAGAATTCCATGGACAGAGGAACCTGGTGGGCTGCAGTCCATGGGGTCGCCAAGAGTTGGATGTGGACATGACTGAGTGACTAAAACACAAAACACCACAGATGGAGGAACGATTTTTACATAAAAATTTAAAATCTCATAACAACTATAACTAGAAATGTGACCTTCTCAGCGTTGCATATGTATCTTTAAACACACAAGGAGAGATGAGGTCGTAGAAAGTAGGGAAAAGATTGTATTTATGTGTGTGCACGTGCATGTATGTGTGCACGTGTGCATCTGTAAGATTACATTACAGATCCGTTAGCTCCTTAGACTGATGAAAATTGACTTGTTTTTGCATGTGACCAATACTATGTGTGTATGCAGAGGATAAGATGGTTAGATAATATCACCAACTCAATCGACATGAATCTGAGCAAACTGGGAAATAGTGAAGGACAGGGAAGCCTGGCATGCTGCAGCCCATGGGATTGCAGAGTCAGGCACAACTTGGTGACTGAACAACAAAAATATGACTAAATGAGCAAAAGCTAATGGCCTTAAGGAGAAAGCCAATAGAAAAATTATCGTTATTATGTTTGGCACGTTGGACAGCTTATGGATTCTTAGTTCCCCAACCAGGGATCAAACTTGGGCCCATAGCAGTGAAAGTACCATGTCCTAGCCCCTAGACCACCAGGGAAGTCCCTAGAAAGATGGTTAATTAGGGTTCTAGAATTATGTTTGTGAGGACAATCCTTTCTTCACTTAAGTAAGACACCATAACTTATATGAAAATATAAGGTTTGATTTCACCAGGAAGTATAGGACATATTATGAGTAATTTCAGCATATCATCTCTTTCCTACAAGGTATGCTGACCAAATTACTAAAAGAATCTGATTTCAAGCAAACAAATCACTGTTGTTTAATACAAGGAATATTAATATATCCTTAATTTTATGTTTTGTCTTTACTCCCTTTCCATTAGCCCACAGTGAACCTCTCAGTCTTCTTTACTGGTTCCTCCTCATCTAGATGGTATTCTTTTCCTCATACTTCACTCATATTCACAGAGAGATCATTTATGCCTGTAATTTGACAGAGATCTACACCTCCAACCTAGGTTTCCCTCATGAACTCTGCATGTTCCAGCTTTCTACTTGATCTCTCTCCCTGGATATTCCATAAACCCAAACTTAAATTGTCCAAAATGGACCTCAGTATCTGTCAAACCAAATGGTTCCCCCTTCATAGAATTTTCCATAAACTTCGATTAGCTCTTATCTCACTTCCTGTTTCTTTCACAGGACTGCAGGCAATGAACATGTGTCTTTTCCCCAGTGCCTGGCACAGTGCCTGGCATCTGGTAGGCATTTATAAATATTTGTGGAAGGAATGAGTGCATATGACACTCATATGCATATAAATAGAAATTTATTTCCACCTCAGACCCCAATGTTTATGAATAGTTTTTAAATGGATGAGTAGCTCTGATACACATATAGATATAAGCATTTATTCCCACACCAACCACCAACTACCATATCTACATAATGTCTAGAGATCAAATAAAGTTAGCTTTGTGCAGCAAGGAAATTAATTAGCACATTTCAGTTTCTTTCCTATTCTCTCTTCTCATTGAAATCATATTATTTTTTATTCAACATTATAACATAAGCATTTTTGCATATCTTAAAAAGTCTCAGACATTAGTTTCGCCAATTGAATTAATACTACCTCAGAAAGAAGTTCTTGATGTACACTGGAAGTTCAGTTGGAAGCATCAGTTGGAAGTGAGCACCTCCTCTAGAAGCGACTCCTCTTCAGCGTCTGTGTTCTACAAAATGTGGTCTCATTGACCACCAGCATCTAGAAACCTGTTGAAAATTCTTGGTCTCCACTCCTTTCTGCATCAGAAATGCTGGTGTGGAGCCTGAGATGTGTACTTTAACAAGTTCTCCAGGTGATTTCGAAGTACAAAGAAGTTTGAGAACTACTGTTAAACACTCTTCCGTGAATGGTGTGCCTGCAACATGTGAATCTTGCTGCATGAATTCACTTTCCACTCACCCTCATCAGTTCCATATCATATTCATACTGAAAAAAAAAGCCTTCTGTGTTTGGCAATAAGTCTTTAAAACAAGGCCTAGTTTCTTGCTGTACGTAAAGCATAGATAAATCGAAATACAGTATAAGGCAGTATTTTTTAAACTTAGTTTTAGGGACAGAAATTTGCTTCAAGTGAAGTATTGTGCATAAGTTTTGTGTGTGTGTGTGTGTGTGTGTGTGTGTGTGTTTTTATAGGGGAGACAACAAGGAATGACTGTTTGAACGTGGTTGAAGGGATTGGGGAATCAGAGTCTGCTCACTGGACTGGGCTTTCTTCCACCATTTTCTCCAGGCTGCCTCTGGGGAACCCAATCTGAAAACCTCCAAGAAGGTGGAAAGGGAGTGCGGTGGGAGTCGGGAGACCTGGTCTCTGTTTTATTTCTTTGGGCCATTCATTAATAATGCATCTCTGAGCCACATATTCCTTATCTGAAAATAAGTAACCTGAAATTTCTCTTCCAGCTCGAAGTTTCTTCTTTCTCTGGTTTATTGCAAATTTTTGTAGAAAAAGATCTGAGCTGTTTTGCAAGTTCTCCCTCCTTTGGAGACTCAGGAAGACACATTGGCTATGCCATTTGCGAGGTCCTCTGTCTTTTCTTTCAGAGTTGACCAACAGGCGTTAATAAATAGATAAGGCCAGGCAGGCACCTGGCCAGGCACATTGGTGCTTTTGAACTGTGGTGTTGGAGAAGACTCTTGAGAGTCCCTTGAACTGCAAGGAGATCCAATCAGTCCATCCTAAAGGAAATCAGTCCTGAATATTCACTGGAAGCACTGATGCTGAAGCTGAAGCTCCAATACTTCGGCCATCTGATGCAAAGGAATGACTCATTGGAAAAGACCCTGATGCTGGGAAAGATTGAAGGCAGGAGGAGAAGGGGATGACAGAGGATGAGATGGATGGCATCACCAACTCAATGGACATGAGTTTGAGCAAGCTCTGGGAGTTAGTGATGGACAGAGAGGCCTGGTGTGCTGCAGTTCAAGGGGTTGCAAAGAATCGCACATGACTGAGTGATGGAACTGAACTGAGGCAGCACCATTTGGAGTGCCACGATAGAAATCTCCCACTAGAGTTTCATTAGCACTGAAGAGATTTTCAACCCCAGCATTTGACTGGGACTATGGCCTCATGATAACTAAACCTGCTGGCTTAGTGGTAAAGAATCCACCTGCAATGCAGGAGACCTGGGTTAAATCCCTGGGTCGGGAAGATCCCCTGGAGAAGGAAATGGCAACCCTCTCCAGTATTCTTGCGTGGAGAATCCCATGGACAGAGGAGCCTGGTGGGCTACAGTCCATGGTGTCACAAAGAGTCTGACTCAACAGAATGACTGAGCACGCACAGGCCGATGATGTGGGGATATGAGAAGGTTTCAGGGAGCAGCAGCCCACAGTTGCATTGGTCTTTTCTGCAGCCTCCTCCTCACCTTCTTTCCCCTCAAGTGTCATGAGTATCACTTTCCGTCTCCTTCCTGCAGGGACCTCTGCATTTTCTGCATTTCCATCTTCTCTTTCTCCCTGATTTTTTCTTCTTATCAGTTCCTGTGACTCTGCTGAGGCCACTATTATTTTTTTTTTATTTTCTTGGCTGTGCTGGGTCTTCGTGGCTGCATAGGCTTTTCTCTAGTTGTGGCGAGCGGGAGCCCCTCTCTAGGTGCGGTGCGTGGGCTTCTCGTTGCGGTGGCTCCACGTGTCGCAGAGCACAGGCTCCAGGGCGCGCGGGCTTCCGTGGTTGCGGCTTCTGGGCTCCAGGGCGCAGGCTCAATAGTTGTGGCTTCCAGGCCTGGTTGCTCCACAGCATGTGGGATCTTCCCGGATCAGGCATCAGACCCAAGTCTCCCGCACTGGCGGGCGGATTCTTTACCGCTGAGCCTGCAGGGAAGTCTGAGGCCACAGCTCAGAGACACCTCTCAGCCTACTGGTGGCCGTCAGAGGGAAGGTGGGTGAGAGCCCAGGGCAGAGCGTGTTATCCCATTGCTGTGACCTGAATGCTTGTATTCCTCTCCCTCGCCACCCCTTCCCATTCACATGTTGAAAACTGAGGCCTAACGTGATGGTGTTTGAAGTGAAACCTTTGGGAGGTGATTCGTCATGAGGACAGAGCCCCGTCGAAGGATTCGTGCCCTTGTAAAGGAGGCTCCAGAGAGACCCTCCTGCCGTGTACGTGCAGAGGACGGCCATGTCTGAATCAGGGGGCCAGCCAGCCGCCAGAACCGGGAGAAGTCAATTGCTGTCATCCGTAAGTCACCCCATCTACGGTACTTTTCGTAGCCAGAACACACTGAGACTGCTATCCTTAGTAAAACAGCTGCGTCTGTATGTGTGCGTGTGTGTGTGTGAGTGTGTGTGAGTGTGCGAGTGTGTGAGTGTGTGGAGGGTAGCAGTAGTGGGTCAGTGGGGGAACCCGAGGGGCAAGTTGAGTGTGATCTTACACTTTTGGCATTTTGCTCCCACAAAGTCTCCTCTGAAGCCTCTGGAAAGAAGGTCATTCGGACTATAGCACCTCAAATGGCAAGGAGCATATTCTCTGAGATGCAGAGGCCTTGCTCTATCAGAGACACATTCTCTGATGTGTCAGAGGTTTAGACAGAAGATACCAGACGCTCTTTAACTAAATTTGTGGAGCAAAAATGGCCTGAAAGGGAAAGCACACTGATCAAAATCTATGTTATACCTTACATTTTACATTAGACTGCACTAGTTATGCACATATAATTATTTTTTCAAATGGGATTTTTAAAACGTAATCTACACATCTGTGTTTTTCTTGCTTTTATCATATGGAGAACTAAACCACAGACTGCTTGGTTGGGACAGCTGGCAGTGTTACCCACCCCTTTTTTCCTCTCCAGTGTTTTTAGCGTCGCTCAAGCTTTAGGCTGTGTGTCTTCTGCATGTGATGGGAGCCAATCTCACCCATCTTTTCCTTGGTATCTCCTTTACTTCTCTTTTTCTCTCAGCAAGCTCACTGAGACAAGAGTTAATGCTTATGGTCTACAAGGAGGCCCCTGCCTTTTTCCTCACAATTAATTCATGACTCCTCCAGCTTCCAATTGCCCTTCAACTCCCATCCACACTCTGGTGGGACTGCTCTTGCTAAGTCACCCGTCTCAAATCCCCTGACAACCTTTCTGTCACTTGACTTCTATGAGAAAACGCCGTCATTCCCTTCTTGACTTTTTCCTCCTTCGGAGTCCGAGCCCCTCTTTCTCCAGGTTGTCCTCAGAGCTCGTGAGTCCACTCTTCTCACCCGATGCTGGTCCTACAAATGCAGGTCCTACCTGAGGGTCTGTCTTATGCCCTCAGCTTTTCTAGGCTATTTACTCCTCTTGAGCAAAACCATCACACCCAGGGGTTCAGCCCTCACCTGTGTGCTAATAGTATCCAAAGCAATACCTTCAGCCCAGATCTGCCCCTCATGAGCTCTCAACATTCATTTTAGAATGTCTTCATTTAATAGTGACCTTAAATTAAAATTATCATCTTAACTTTTAAACTCTGCTCCTTTTGCTTGGTGAATATCACCATCCAGCCACCCAAGTAAGAAACCGAGATCCATCCTAGACTTCACTTACCTATGTTCAATCAATCAAATCCTCCTAGTACGGCAACCCTCTCTAATTTCCCTACCAACTGTCATCACTGCTGCCTGGGTTTGAGTTCAGGTAGTGCTCACGTATCATCTGGGCAGGTGCCTCCTGGGTTCCCTGCCCTTAGTTTCCCATAAATTATCTATAACTCACCTTCAATCCATCCTCCAGATGATCGTCCCAGAACAGGGTCATTCAATATGGCAGCCACTAGCCACGTAGAGCAATTTACATTTAAATAAATTAAAGTTAAGTAAAATTGAAAAATTTAGCTCCTCAGTTACCCTGTCTACGTTTTAGGTGCTCAGCAGTCCATGTGGCTCATGGTGGCCCATTGAAGAGTCTAGATACAGAGTATTTGCCTCATTGCAGAAAGTTCTGTCGGATAGTGCTATTCTGGAACATAATTGTGTCATATCCCCACTTGCTTCCCAAGTGATTTCACACTTATCTCAGATTAAATTCCAAAATCCTTTAGTGTGGCGTGTCAGACCTTGCCCTCCAGTCCACTCTCCGTTTCACTGTCTCCTGAGCTTGAAACCTATGCTTCCATCATATCAGGCCCCAGCCCCTGTCCCCATACTTTTGGTTATGCTGTTTCCTCCACTTGGAAGGGCTGCCTTCCTTTGTCCCTTTAAAACTCCTGTGTATGTTTCACTCAATTCAAGCACCATTCTCTCGCTGAAGCTTTTCCTTGATTTCTAGGCAGAGTTTAGACTGCCCTTTGTATAACTTTCCCTGGCAGCGTATACTACTGTGATACTCCTCATTTTTTTTTTAACCTATTGATTCAGTGTGGAAAGCTAAATAATGCCTCCCACCCCAAGTCATTCACATCCTTGTCTCCAAAACTGATGAATAGCATTACCTTACATGGTAAGAGAAACTTTGCATTTGATTGAATTGTAGCATTGGAGATGGAGAGATTATTATGATTATCCAGAGAGGCTTTATGATATAATCACAAAGGTCTTTATAAGAAGGATGCAGGAGTGTTATAGTCAGAGATCTAGAGAGAAGAAGGATATAGGATGATGGACGCAGAGTTTTGGAGAAGGAAATGGCGACCCACTCCAATATTCTTGCCTGGAGAATCCCATGTACAGAGGAGCCTGGTGGGCTACAGTCCACGGGGTCGCACAGAGACGCAGCAGCAAGCAGAGTTTAGAGTGATGTGAAGAGAGAGGAAGGGGCTGCAAGTCAAGGAACGCAGGTGGCCTCTGGAAGCTGGAAGAGACAAGGAAATGGGTTCTTCCTTGGAACCCCCAGAAGGAATGCAACCTGTTGACCCATTTTAGACTTCTGACTTCTAGAGCTAAAATATAATAAGCCAGTGTTGTTTCACGCCACTAAATTTGTGGTAACTTTTTACAGCTGCAATAAGAAACTAATACATTTACTTTTTCATCCATACATCTATGCCGCATATCATTTGACATACAGTTGCTAAGCACCTGATTTGTGCCAGACCTAGCATTATATACTAAGAATAATGAATGAGACTCAATTGTTGCTGGGTGATATATGATGCAGGTAAGGGAGATGACAGGTGCTCTGAAAAACTTGGTTCATAAAGGTAATGAGGGGCCAGACTGTGAAGGGCTCTTCATGTTGCTGTCTAACGTCGGGGCCATTTTCTGTAGATAATGCAGAGCATCATTAGTTCATGATCAGATCTTTGGCTGCCTGAGTGTGGAAGGGGATGGTGCTGGAGGCAGGAAGATACATCAGGTGACTGCATTTTTCTGGGTGAGAAATTATGAAGACCTGAAGAAGGAATGTGGGAGGACAGTAAGGAAGTAGAGCTGGTAATCCTGGGGTGATAATTCAGAGGTAGAAACGATGGCATTTTGTGATCAGTTAAATACTGTGCATGAGAGGGCAGAGTCCAAGATGACTCTGCTCCAAGATAACCCCGAGAACGGATGACTCTAAGTCAGTGCCTGGCACACTGTGGATAAGAAACAATTGTCTTGAATTGGATTGTGTGGCAAGAAGACAATGGAGTAGATCATCGCTGGGAGGAAAGGATGATGCCAATGAATCTGAATAGTGGAGGAAAATAAATAGAAGAACAAGTGTGTGTGTGTATGTGTGTGTGTGTGTGTGTGTGTGTGTGTGTGTGTGCATGCACAGGGCGCTGGGAAAAAAGGATGTGAAACCTGTGTCCTATTACCCCATATGATTTTTTACTACTTGATTAAACTTTTGCTAGAACCATGTTCAGAGAGTGAATTTAGAAAACTGTATAACTACCTTTAAGATGCCAGATTTCTCTCAGTGCTAAGTTGAGCTCTACTCTTTGGATCTGAAACAGTTTTGAGCAGGGGCGGGAGAGCAGGGGGCGTGGGTTGACTTTCAGTGCATTTGCTGTAACAGTCAGGAATGAAGGCAGTGCCTCAGTTTTCTCCCTCCCTATATCCCTCTTTGCTCGTGTCTCCATCTGAGAATGAAACGTTCTCTGGCGCTGGATGGGGCTACATATGTGTCCCTTGCCCAAGACCCTCTGCTGTGGCTATGTCATGGTGAATATTTGCTATATTGAAATATACATCTATAACCTCTTCTCTTCCAAGTGACATCCTGTTTCCATAACACTGTTGGGAGAATATGCACAGTTTTCCAGCAAAGGCCCTGAAGCTGTTTCTCACCAAACTTCCTCTGTGGCAGACTGTCTGTGGCCATGGTATAGCAGAGTGGGGTCCATAGTGGGGGCACAGATCTCTCCTTTTATTTGTGTTTACACAGAACATTGTGCTTGCAGCTATGAACTGTGACTTTGTAGAGGAAAGGGGGAAAGTCTTATGGTCTAATTAGTTTGGGAAATTCTGAGTTAAACAAATGTGCTTCATTCTGCAAGACTTCTCAGAAGCTTTACTCTACCCATATGTGCTATGAATATCTGAGACAGGGGTAGAGATTTTCCTAAACATAGTTGACTCCGGAGCACTGTAAACATTTGTGGAAAAGCGCTCCCTGCATCAGAGTTTGGAAAGAGTTGTGCTACAGAAGTAGAGTGGCCACGGTGTTTTTAGATGCCTGGCACACTCAACAGGAGTGTATAAAAAAGACCTCTAGCCATTACCCGTGTTCACAAGGTCTTCAGTGAGCATGAAGCACTCAAGATTGACTGAAACTGGACCAATCTCCCTGTTCTGACACGTCTAGTTTGGATTGGAACTCACTTTACAGGTGAGCCAGGATCGAGGTGTGATTTAGAGCCACTTCTGTCATCATTCCACATCTTAATCACACTTGGGGTTTCATTTCCTCTCACTACACACCCCTACAAATGGCTTCTTATGATAAAAAACAATTCATGTTGGTTTCCTTCTTAAACTTTGTTTCAAAAATACTTTGAGAACACTAGATACTTTTCTTTGGATATTGGAACATAATACAATAGTAACTAGATATTGGGTCGGCCAGAAAGTTTTCATTTGGGTTTTTCCGTAAGAGATGAAACTTCCTCTCCAACCCATTGTTTGTGTTCTGCTTCTCTCGTTCCCATGTGATACAAATGCAAGGTGTTTTTCAGTTTTCAGGAACTTTATTGTTTATAATCCAGGTTGATCCTTAGAGCAACTTGACAAGGAGGAGGTGAAGCCCCATTGTCTTATTCTGCTGTAACAAAACTGCCCAGACCTGGTGGCTTACAAATAGTAGAAACTTATCTTGCTCAGGATTCTGGAATCTGGAAGTCCAAGGTCAGTGTGCCAGCGTGGTTGGGTTCTGGTGAAGTTTTCTTCCAAGTTGCAGAGGGCTGACTTCTCAACGTGTCCTCACAGAGTGGAAGGCGTGAGGGAACTCTCTGGAGCTGCTTTTATAAGGGCACTAACTCCACTCGTGAGTCCTCCACTCTTGTGACCTAATTACCTCCCAGAGCTCCACCTCCCAATGCCTTCACATTGGGCATTAGATTTCAATGTATGATTTTTGCAAGGGATATAAACTTTCAGCCTATAACACCCGTTTTATAGAAAAGCAAATAACATATATGGATGCCTAGTTTATGCAGGTATTTGGCCAAGTGTTTTACGTGTATAAGCTCATTTAGAGCTCCTCTCTGAAAGTGAAAGTCGCTCAGTCATGCCCGACTCTTTGCGACCCCATGGCCCATATAGTCATTGGAATTCTCCAGGCCAGAATGCTGGAGTGGGTAGCCTTTCCCTTCTCCAGGGAATCTTCCCAACCCAGGAATTGAACCCAGGTCTCCCACATTGCAGGAGGATTCTTCACCAGCTGAGCCACCAGGAAAGCCCAAGATTACTGGAGTGGGAAGCCTATCCCTTCTCCAGTGGATCTTCCTGACCCAAGAATCGAACCAGGGTCTCCTGCATTACAGGCAGATTCTTTACCAACTGAGCTATGAGGGAAGCCCTTAAAGTTTTACATTAGGATATGCTAGCCTCGTGTTAGAAGTGAAGAACTAGAGACTAAGAGTGAATTAACTTGCTCAGTCACATAACTTATAAAAGCAAGCCGTGGTGTTTAAACTCATGGTCCTTTAACCCCCAAGCCCACTCTCCTTCCATGATGGCACTCTTAAAGAGGAAACTGAAGACAAGGGCAACTCAAGATTTGCTCAAGTTCACACGGCAGGTTGGGGAAAGTGCTGGAATTAGGACCTGGTTCACTTGACTTTTAGTCCAAGGGTCTGTCTTCTGCGTACTTTTGCCAGGTCACTGGAAGGCGTTTTCAAGAGTAAGTAACAACCTGTGAAGTGTCACTGTCAGCGGCCACAGCAGCTGCCTGAGAGCAGCGGGAAGAGAAGACGAAACCAGTGGCTGCAGATCTCCATCCCCGCCCCAGCGGCCTCAGTGTGGCTAAGGAGTGCAGATCCTGCATTTCTCAGAAGGCCGCCTTAACTTCATTCTCTTCTGACACATACTTAAGGTGCGGTATACTTCAGGAGTTTGGGTCCTCCTTACCTCTTCTTTTCATGACCAAAAAAAAAACAAAAGTAAGTCCCCTGCCTATGAATCTTCAAGTTGTGGACTTTCAAGGATGAGAACCTGTCCTCATCAACGTCAGGCATGAGTGAAATTGCAGCTTGCCCTCCATCTCCTATTGCTGGTTCTCCTTCAGCTCTACCATCTCCCACCTCCTCTCTCTCCCCCGGTCAGTAACTCTTCTTGCCCCGTATGCTAGCTGTTACACTGTACTACTGTACTTTTCAAGGTACTGTACTGTAAGGTTAAAAATTTCCTTTAATTTTTGTGTTTGTTTTTTATGTATTATTCATGTGAAAAGTATTATAAACCTATTCCAGTCCAGTCCTATATAGCTGATTGCATTAGTTGGGTACCTACACTAATTTTGTTGGACTTATGAACAAATTAGGCTTATGAATGTGCTCTTGGAATGGAGTTTGCTATGTAGAGGATTTACTACAGAGCAAATTCCACCGCCTGCCCTTCAGTGGAACCTACTGTTTCCACTAATCAGATGAACGTGATTCAGTAACATCTCCCAACGTTCCCCTATGTGAAATCCCTGGGCTGGTGTCATGGGGACAGCTATGGAGCCACACAGCGCACACTTTCTCAGAGCCTGCAGTCTAAGCAGAGTGTGAGACGTACTACTGAAGAGGTACAAACTAACGGGAAGGCAAGACGTGAGGCCCTTAGGGAGATGAAGAAGGAGTCCTGGACAGTTAGCGTGGAATGCTCACCACTGCCTCTCAGAACAATTTCTGGGATGTCCTGCCTCTAGTCACCATGTACTTAGCTCCTCAGGGACATTTACTGGGTAGTTCCTGAAAAGCAATAACTATAGGGCAAATTTTTGTTGCCATTTTCCCAAACCCAAAGTCTTTTTGAAGTTTTCCTTGATACCAGGTTGGGACAAAAAGGTGGTTATGTTTCTGTGTCCTGGGTCTCTCCTGAGAGCTCCTTGATCCACATGAGGCAGGAATGTGAAGTGAAGGGGAAGAGAAGTCTGGTCTTTATGGAGTTGCTGGGTTCCAGTCCTCCTCTTGGGAGCTGGGAGTAGCTGTGTTCATCTGCTTTCTGTTTCCCAACTGACCCTTCCCTGCTCTTGGATGCAGTGGTGGGCAGAGTCTGAGCTTGGGCCCGCTGCGGGGTTATTGGTAGTGGAAGTGATGTAAGAAATCATTCTGCTTTTTTCCCGCCCCCACTCATCCAGGCTCTGACGATTGGGCAGAAATAGTCGTCCAAAGGCCAAATCAAATGGATGGAGCCAAAGCGAGGAGTTAAAATAGCAGAATCTATATCCCATGTTTTGAGGGATTATTTCCTTTAGCTATTGAATGAGGATCTCGAGGTCAGGCCTTACTTCTGTGATTAACAAAAACTTTGAGGATAATGAGGGGAATATGGAAATGGATTTAAGTTTCTCAAAGAAAAAGAGGTATTTTATAAATCCAAGGCAGTTACATACAGCCTCCTGGGTTCAAAATTCCAGTGGGCTTACATTGGCCAAATTTATGTGTGCCTATGCCCAATAATTTTCCCTCTTGCCCATTTAGGCTTCCAAATCATTAGGCTGAGAGAAGTAAGGACTTCCCTTGAGGAAATACAGAGCTGTTATTCCATTCCCTCCATCCCACCGTTGACTCGGGGAATCTCTGAGAATCTCTGGAAGGGACTCCAAAAGTCACGTAGTCCAGCTGCCAATATATTCCCTTGCTAAGCAGGCAAGTGGGAATAGAAAGTAAAAGTGCAGTTAATTCTCAAGCATTTGGATGTAGATTGTCCACAGACAGAGAGTGAGAGATTTGTGTGTTTGGAGACAGTGCTTGGGGTCTCTTCATATCTGTTCCTTCTCCAAGCTAAACAATCACAGATCATTTCACTGGTCCTTAGAGGACTGCTTTCAAACTTCTGAAATCGCATAAATTGAAGCCATTTTCATCTAACTAGGTTGATGCTGCCTTCATTTCCATTCCAGAAACTTTTGGCTATTCCCCATTCAGGAGGGACTGACTGCATTTGAAATAGGATGACAGAGGAATTACTCTCACTGAGATTACCCTTCAGCTACATCCCAGAACTCAGAGACTCTGCTAACTGCTACTGCCATAATGACTAGCAATCACAGCACAATCACGGAAATGAATTAAATTATTAATTTCAATAGCACCCCATGGTGCATTTATAAATTCCACCATCTGGGGAACATAAATATGGAGGTCCACATTCTAAACTTGGAGGCATGGTGCTCGGTGCCAACGGCTGTATCTTTGAAGGCAGTAAGATTTTTCAAGATACTATATGTGGAGCAGCAAGCTGTGCATTTGAGAGAAGGATCTGTCCCTGGGTCTCTATTAGCTTTACTATTTATTTAAGGATCTCTTCTCCTTTATTTTTTAACCAGTTCATATCGATAGACGCAATGTATAAAAATCTTGGTTTAGGAAGAGTAAACGATGGGAAATAAAGTCAAACTCTTACTTGAACTATTTATTTATTCTCTCTCTTTTCTCTTTATCCCATTGCTTCCTCCTAGAGTCTCTTCTCGTACTGACTTGCTTTACTTAAAAATCTCTGGTTAATAAGTTCTTCCTACTGAGATAGCTATTTTTGGGTTTTGAATGGGTTCAAAAATCTCTCTAAAACTTTAAGAGCATTGTTCCTGAAGCAGAGAGGATACAGGTCCTGAAGGAGTGTGTAACCTACTCCAATCAAAGAGATTTAACTTTCTTTCCTTGCATGGAACCACTTGGCCAGATGTTGGGGTTCCCTGAGCCTTCTCTGTTTGCCATCTGTCCTGTCCCCAAGGGCTGGTGAGAGAGGGACACTTCTAAAGACCGTATGTAAATGACTTCCATGCAGCCCCACAGCAGCTCCCCTAGGCTACCTTCTTCCCACTGTGGATCACCAATGCAAAGCCAAGCAACAGCCCAGGCCCCTGCCATTGTGTACCACAATGTCCTCATATCCGAAACAACTAGATTTCTAGCCAATGAGTTCACTTAAGACTCACAAGAAAAATACATAGCTTCCTGCAGGATAAATGTTTCTAAAGCATCCAGGGTGTTGTGTAGCTCTTGACTTCCTTGTTCTATGTATCCAGTTCTGCAGGTCGGTGTGATTTCTAATTGAGACTGAGGGAAAACTCCAAAGGTCGCCTTGTCCCCTTTGCTGCCACCAATAATTGATGATGCTCACTGGCCATCCAATGAAACAGCTTTCATATGTAAGGGTAAATGAAAATATTGTGGGAGGGGCTATTTTTAGCAACTGTGTTTTAGGTTGATTCCTTTCAGTTCTCTGTAAAGCCAAATATCTGGGTAACTTGAGATCTGATAATCTATAACTTTGGGAAGAGGTGGTTTGTACCTGAATAGAATTTCACTTATTCATTGTTTTAGATGTCGTTCTCATAACTTAGTCAAATCAGCTTATCATTAGCCATTTGACAACAAGAGAATAAACAGAACCTGTAATCATGATAAATTAAATGAAACTTCTGATCTTCATGGCAAAGTCCTTGCCAATAGCTTCTGTTTCTGTCCCTGGATGGTAAACATAAATGTTCATCAAATTTGAGAAGCTGGACCTCTAGGGACTCCCATGTCCTGCGTTTATTAATGACAATGAAGGACCCAAAATCAGTGATTTATGCAATTTAGCCACGGCTATCCCCAACCTCTGTGGGAGTTAGTAGACTGGAATAATTACAGACTAAATAGTGATGATAAGGAGGAAATGTACTGTAGTTGGAGTTAGTGGGCTGAGAAAACAAATGTTTCCGGTCTCAGGAGAATCTGCTTGCTGTTATAAAGGAGAAAAGTAGAAGCAAAGAGACCTTGTCCTGATCTGTACGAGTTCGGGAGCTGGGAAAGACCACATAAAGTTATCATAAAAAACAAGAGGTGATAAACACAAAAGACCCTTTAGCATCCTGCTCCCTGCTCAGCCTGCCACCCAGCAGCGGGAAGACAAACAGTCAGCGTGCTGGTTTTGAGATGAAAATCTGGAATAGTCACTGTTTTGTCCTCAGAGCCAATTCTGGTAATACTGGCGGAACCAGTGTAACTTTGTATTTGCTTCTGACTCAAACACCAGAGAAAACTCACACAAAGAAGTGAGAAACTTCCTATTCTGAGTTGAGGAGTTCTGTGTGAGCCTGTCACAGCATCCGTTCTGGGTAGTCACAAGGCTTCTTTTCTCTTTGGGTATCAGAATAGCTCACCCTAAGCCACCAGCCGCTCCACATTAGTGACTGAATCCCTCTGAGGCCCAGGTCAAGTAGCCTGCCCAAGGCCATGACGAGGACCCAGGTAGACCACAAGCTCAGCAAGCATGGCCTCCTGCCAGAAACAAGGCCTCTCCCCTACAGTCTCCTTGAACCTCACTCCCTGGATAGACGCACTGTCTGACACTGCCCTGCAGTGAACAAAGGGAAAGAAAAAAAAAACAAAAACCAGCATTTCTTTCTAAGATGAAAGCATATGGTACCATCAAGGGGGGTGGGTGGGAAGAAAGATGCCTGGGAAGATTCAAAAGTATGTTAGTTATACCTCAAGGGCAAATAGTATAAGAGAGAAGAAGATGTTTTCTTATTTGTTGGGCAATATCACAATAGCCCTTCACCCCAGCAAGGGAGAATGCCTGCCTGAGTGAGGACCAGCTCTAAACTGACTCAGCACTTCTGTTCAAGTTTCATCGCTTAGCCAGGTGACACTGTTTCAGGTGAATTTTTCCTTATAGTAAGATCTGATGGCCAATTTAATTGGCCATGGAAAAGAGAAACAATACAGTTCTATAGAGAATTATGTAAGGAAATCTAAGTAAAATCCAGAGAATTCACACATTGATCCATTCATGCATAAGTCAGCAGCATCAAAACAAGATCTTTCTAGGACTCATCTGGCTTCCCATACCCTCTCTTCTTCCATTCAGATGCTTGTCGAGTTTTTCATGAGGGAA